TCCAACCTTTCTTCGATGTTCCAGGCTATCAAGGTTGCACGTGCATTCATGATTCAACACCAGACAGTGCCGTTTCGAACCACCATAGGTCTCTTCAGTAGTGATAGGCCTGAACCTCAATTGCATTGCTAGACTCAACTGTCTTTGAAGGACAAGCCTAATTAAAGTAGGGCGATAGCATTTTTCCTTTTTCTCTTTGTTTTTACTACAATTTTTATTAAATTTTTGTAGGAAAAATGACGATTATTGAAGTTTCAATTTAAACAAATAGAAGAAGTTTTTAATTCCAGTTAGTTTGAATGAATGCAGTAATCACTTCCCAACGATTATGGACATACAGGATTGCTTACTTTTGCGATTTTGTTAGACATAAACTGCCCTGTTAAATTTTGATCAATAAATATATATGAATACGCTGGAAACTACTATTGAACTCATCACTGAAATCGTCGAAGCTAATCCTAACGAATTTGATATGGATATTGGATTCCAACAAGATGGAGTACCACCACATTACTCCAGATAAGTAAGAAAGTATTTGGACACTACTTTTTCCTGTCGTTGGATTGGCCGTCGAGGTCCTACAGAATGGCCAGCCTGCTTACCAGATTTGACACCTTCGGACTTTTTTATGGGGCTTTTTGAAGCAAAAAGTGTACGAAACTGAACCTGCTTCAATATTGGATATACGGCAGCAAATAATAAATATTTGCCGAGATATTGACGTTACTGTGTTCGAAAATGTTCGTCGTGTAATATCAGATAGGCTGTTCAGATGTCAAGAAGTTCAAGGCAACCATCTCGAGCATCTTCTGAACTGACCTCAAGCCTATTACCTCGTATTATGTCAATGTATTCAGACAATTATTAAAAGTTCCGCCATTTTGTAGAAGTTGAAAATATTGACATCATATTCTATGGTTGCTAAGCATTTGTCATGAGCTTTATTTCTTTCCCAGATGGCGCCCAGTCGCCATCTTGAAAGTTTCATCTGTCGATTTCACTTCAAAATGACGTATTCATATATCAATTTCATTATTTTTTGAGTTGACCCGTTCAAAAATGAAAGTGGGGGATATTAAAGAAAAGCAGTATATGATGTCGTTGAACGATTTTCGGCCAATTTTTCTCTACCGAACTTTTGAAACAACCTAATATTTGATACTTCAAAGGCGATGACATCACCCCTTTTAGAGATCTATTGGATCGACAGAGAACTTGAACATCAAAGATAAATGAGGCTCTCCAAGGCGGTCATTTGCAAAGCCAAGCTTCGACATACGTTGAAGCCTATGTCTTTCACAGAAAGGCAGCTGTTTAAAAGCCACAGCCCAAACACAATTTTTTTTAAACAAAACACAAGCAGTACAGAAAAATCCTCAAGGCGCTCACAGAGCGGTGCCTGTGCGAAAGTAGCGATTCACATTCAATTTGAATCGCTAGAGATTGAATCCATTTGGAAAAATGTTCTCAGGAAGTTTATTCCACATAAACGCAGTTCTCCAGATGAAACAGCTCCTAAAAAAAGAAGTTCAAGGTGTACTGAGTTGAACCTCAAACAATTAGTAGTGACAGTCCGTCGCGTATTTCTGATATGCACCGCTCTTGGTGGAATCAAATGTGCCAAGTCACTTGAACACTTTCCGTGAAAGTATCTATTGAATAGAGACAAATCTCCAACGTTTCTTCGATGTTCCAGGCTATCAAGGTTGAACGTGCATTCATGATTCAACACCAGACAGTGCCGTTTCGAACCACCGTAGATCTCCTCAGTAGTGATAGGCCTGAACCTTAATTGCATTGCTACACTCAACTGCCTTAGAAGGACAAGCCTTATTAAAGTAGGGCGATAGCATTTTTCCTTTATCTCTGTGTTTTTACTACAATTTCTATTGAATTTTGAATTTCTATTGAATGTAGAAAAAATTATAATATATGAAGTTTCAATTTGAACAAAAAGAATGAGTTTTTAATTCCAGTTAGTTTGAATGAATGCAGTAATCACTTCCCAACGATTATGGACATACAGGATTGCTTACTTTTGCGATTTTGTTAGACACGTCACGTGATCTCGTGACGTAACAGTGGTGACTCTGGATTGATTCGGTACTGCACTTTTAAATTAAAATAAACAAATTTCATAAAAATCCCTCATTAGATTA